AAATTTTATCAGGATCTTTTTCTTTAGATTTTGTTCTTAAACATTACACCAAAGTGTTGCTGTTAGGACATCTCCTTTCTCATATTTAAATGTGAATATATCATGTGTTTATAATATGAGTCTATGAGCCAATGACAGTAGCTAATGACAAGTGACTTCCAATAACTAAGATGTATGATCTTTACGGATTTGGTGCATAACATGGATCTTCTAGAAAACACATTTCATTAATCTCTCTTTAATGTCATATGCAACTTTAGAAAGAAAAAACAATGGGAGGCTATGATAATAATTTGTATTAGAAAGTTGTCTTTTATTTTCCAATGCATTGCATCGAACATATATAATTATATATGTTGATGCTCCTTAATAAAAGTAAAATCTTAATCTGATATATTTTATTCTAGGTTTATCAAGACTTTGCATAATTAATATTTTGCTTTCATGTAATTTTTTTTTTTCCTGAATTACTTGATAAACATTAGTTTTGGATATATACACTTGGTAATATGTAAAAAGGAAAAAAAAAGCAATTCCGTAATTTCGGGTTTTTATAGAAAACTCTATCTGTGTTGTTAAATAAGCCAAAAGAACAATTTCTTTATCCCAAGTAGACTAATTTTCAAAGGAACCGAGAGTCGAGAGGCATAGAAATGAACACTCTAGGTGATCAATCCAATAAAGCATACAATATGATTCTTATAAAAAACACATGAAAAGTAAAATAAAATCATTGGGATCTTATTGTGCATCCACCAAGCTTGTAGGCTGAGAATGTGGATGTGACCCAACTTCAAGAGATTCTTACTTTTTATCTTCCTATAATTCTTATCCATCAACATAATTCACTATGTAGTTAGATAATCATGATTCATAACCACTATCTCATCAGCGAATATACAAGAATAAGTTACTGAGTTTTAGTCAAATAAATAAATAATATGAACTAGTAGTTAAAACTAAAATCAATAATGAATTGTAGTTATAACATAAGAGTCCACACTTTTTGTCTACATATATAAACATAACATCATTTTTTTATAAAAAGTCAACTATAGAAATATAACTTGCGACAGCAAAATGTTTTGTTGACTTCAAAATTTAATCATACATGGCCGGTGATAAATATCTTGAGAAATTTCAAAAAATACCACTTTTCAAGTGTCATTTTACAAAAATGCCACATTTTTGAAATCTTTACAAAAATGCCACTTTTTCAAAATTATTTTTTCTTTATATTATTTATGTTTGGGTTAATTATGTTTTATTAGGGTTTAGTTTTGAGTGTTTAGGGGGTTTTAGGTGTCAAAACATTTTTTAGGATTTAGAATTTTAAAATATAGGTTTTATAAATCTATAATTAGTGGCATTTTTGTAAATGGACACCCCTAAGTAGCATTTTTGCAAATGTGCACACAAAAAGTGGCATTTTTGTAATTGTCCCAAATATCTTTCTCGTTACACAGAATCTGCTAAATTATAAACATGTTCAACCATATATATTACATCTTTCTCTTCATATTTTTTTTGTTTCTTCCAAAAATTCATATTGTAAGACTGTAATAATAAATATTATCCAAGTAATGATGTATTGGTGTACTTATTTAAAAAGAGCCTGTCTTAGGTTTGATAATAATATTGGTATTAACCACTATGATTAGTTGCTTATTATGGGATACTTTATGTTTTCCTAAATCTTTTTTTCTGAAACTGTAGGAAAGTGAAGAAAGCCATGAAGCACGCTCACGCGTGTCTCGCACTTCCCACCATGCTTTCCCAAAAGCCTGTCTTTTTCTCAATTCTTTTTAAGAAGAAAATTTTATTTATTTACAACTATATTATAATTTGCATTAGTTTTTTTTCGAGAAAAGTATAATTAGCATTAGTTTAGTATGGTAAATGCGTTTTCTGATACTCTAGATTTTGTTACTCAATTCAAACTTAAGACATATATATATAGTAAGGAAAGTAATCAATTCTGTTTCAAATTATGGTAATAACTAAATTCTATTTTCTGCGTTGAATACTTAGTACAATATCAAAACAAATCTTTTTTAAAAAAATTACAGGATCTACAGAATCATCTACATTAACACTCTCCCAATTTATTCATTTAGAAGAAAAAAAAAAACTTTGAACTGTCTTTCCTTTTCAATTTACATCATCAAATGGAAGGAAAAAAAAATCAATTATATTAACGAAACCGGATTGAATAATTATAGTACTAGTTACCGTTTCTGACTCGGATGAGACCAAGGTTAAAACCGAACCGAGTCTTGGTTTACACTGAACCGGACACGTTCCTAATTTTGATTTTGGTCATTTCTCTGCCGGAATATTCCCAAGACAGTCAAAAAGAAGCCAAAGAATAACAAAGCTCTGTTTTTTATTTGTTTTCTAATGGCAAAAAAAAATATTAAATATAAAAATAATCAGAAATCGTTTTAAAAAAAAATTCCATTAACTGAGTTAATTGGATAGTATTGAAGATGATTCACAGAGTTTTTCAGTAATCATATATAGCTCTAGATTCTCTTTTGCCATCTTCCTTTCTCGCCAAAAAAAAAAAAAAACTCTTTTCATAAAAATTCTGTCTCTTTCTCTCTTACTCTCCAATATTAAACTCCAAAATCAGTCTCTCTCTAGACCCATTTCATTTGTTTCTAACGCTGCTCTCTCTCTCAATTCAATTCCTAGTATTTTGTTTTGTCTCTCTTTCACGATGACTATGGAACAAGATATTGAAGCTTTGGACCAGTTTCCGATAGGGATGAGAGTTCTTGCCGTTGACGATGACCAAACTTGTCTCCGTATTCTCCAGACTTTGCTTCATCACTGCCAATACCATGGTTCCTTCT